AACAAGCCAATTCACTTCGTGAACTCGGCAACCAGGATACCGTTTTTTTTCACCTCTGTTTTTTTTTTGGCGGTAGCCATGATGGTGGTTGAGTAGATCATGTTGTGCGCGGTGGAGAACCCTCACTCCGCGCTAGGGGGATGATCGCACCACGTTGTGTTAAAATGGTCAAGCACCCTCGAGGCAGTTACACAACTGTAGTGCTTACAACTGTCTCTGGAAGTGAAAGCACCAGAAAATAAATTAAGTCATACGCAGCTGTCATCCGTGTGCAAGGCACAAGATGCCGAACACCCCTAGCAGGATGCAGCGCACCCTTCATGCGACTCACCGAATACCTCACGGCGCTTCGCGCTCGGTGATGTGAGAGCCCGGTCCGGTGAGAACCCGGCGAGGTCAATGGTCTAACGACTACGGCATGCACGACTATGAGTACCCCCCCCCCCCCTCGGTGGTGTTTGCCATCGGGGTTGGGTTTTCGTCGCTTGGCATCGACGTTGTAGAACAAGCCGATCACTTCGTGAGCTCGGCAACCAGATTAGTCTATTACCGCTTTTTTTTTTCTTCGTCTTTTTTTTGCGGTAACCATAAGACTAATGGTGGTCGTGTAGATCATGTTGTGCGGAGTCGAGAACCCTCACTCCGCGCAAAGCGGATGATCGCACCGCNCCCCCTCGGTGTTTGCCGTCGGGGTTGGGTTTTCGTCGCTTGGCATCGACGTTGTAGAACAAGCCGATCACTTCGTGAGCTCGGCAACCAGATTAGTCTATTACCGCTTTTTTTTTTCTTCGTCTTTTTTTTGCGGTAACCATAAGACTAATGGTGGTCGTGTAGATCATGTTGTGCGGAGTCGAGAACCCTCACTCCGCGCAAAGCGGATGATCGCACCGCTTGTGTTAAAATGATCAAGCACCCTCGAGGCAGTTACACAGTGCTTACAACTGTCTCAGGAAATGAAAGCACCAGAAAATTAATTGAGTCATACGCAGCTGTCATCCGCACGCAAGGAAGTGAGCACAAGGTGCCGAACACCCCTAGCAGGATGCAGCGCATCCTTCATGCGACTCGCCGAATATCTCACGGCCCTTCGCGCTTGGTGATGTGAGAGCCTGGTCCGGTGAGAACCCGGCGTGCTCCGTCCCGGCTTTGTAGGGATGCGAGGTCAATGGTCTAACGACTACGGCATGCACGACCATGAGTACACCCCCCCTCCTCCCCACCCGGTTGTTGAAAAACACCTCGTTTGTTCGCACTCTGTGAGGCGAATCTGGTCTTTGAGGTATTTGTCTGGGTCTTACAGACTACTGGGTGGCTGTCATAACGATGCTTCGGGTCACGTGGCTACCTCAGGCTCCTCCCCGCAAACACACAGATCCTAATCCTGACGACGCCCAGCCGAAGCAGGGACACCTCCGGAGATGCTGTTGTAGTAGATCATTCACTCGCTAACCAGCGCGGCGATGTTGACGGTTGTAACGATTCTAAGGGCCGTGGAGCTTGTCCTGGACAAGACTCCCGCGAAGCGAACGAGTTCCAGCACTACTCCGGCTGCTACTGCTGGTGCTGCCGCTACGGGCAGGTAATATCCGGGGACTGCTGGATGTTTGGTAGATATCATATAGTTGGGTGGGCAAAGAAGGGTGTGAGATACCGGGCTTCACCCCCCCCCTAGCAGCTAGAAAGCTCAGCAACCACCGAGGGAGGGAGGGAGGGAGGGAGGGAGAAAGAGGGACTCAGCACGACAGCGGTTCATCACGACAGCTTTCGCTTTCGAAAGCTTGCTTTTCCTTGGTCGCGGGATTCCACTCCTATTGCTTTCCTACGATATTGGTAAGAGGCGCTGCCAATACGGGTTGGTTGGAGTTCCTGTTTCCCCTGATTGTTACCAAGTGTTATCGCTAGCCTGACCTCCTTGGGGCCGCGGCTGTGTGGTTCAGCCTGGGTTCCACCCACGCCTTTTCCGAGAGAGGTAAGACTTCCCCCTCCGGGCATGTGGTTTTACCCCCCACCCTAATCGCTTCTGGTCTGCTGACGACGCAAGCGCTTCTATGATGACTGCCTCGTGCAGAGAACACGAGCGACCACCGCAACAGCAGCAACAGCCCCACCGTTCATCATCGGCCACGTCCGATGTGAACACGGCGGAAGCGGCAGCAGCAGCGGCAATGGCAGCGGCAGCCCCTGCGGCGCAGAGAGATGATTCTCGAGGGTCTTCAGCAGGCGACTCCAAACGGGATGGTGGGTTTGTATGTAATCCCTTGGGCCGTCATTTTGGAAATATTCATATTTAACGAGGCTCAATGCCTTACTACGTCTCAACCGGTAAGCACAGGCTGCTAATTATTATGCTGTCGTCTACAGATGGATTCACTAGGTAGTGTGCATAGTGCCGGCGGCTGAACTCAACTTCTGATGCGACGTGCAATACTTCTTGCTATTAGAAATCCTGTGCGATTCCTGATGAGCAGGCCGGGGCTATATTTGTTGACAGCAAAAGGAGCAACAACAACAACAACCCTTTCATTTTTTTTTTTCAGGGGGTAGAGTTGGACAGCAAGAGGCCGCCGAGGAGAAAGGTGGGGGTGGGGATGGAGGTGGAGGCGACGAGGACATGGCAGGGGCAGGCGCGGCGGCGGACGCGCCGCGCTCCATGCGCCCTAGGACGGCTCGAAGGTATCTACGGCGGTATCTACGGCGGTATCTACGGCGGTACCTTAGCAATCTTCAATACCAATGATCACCCCCAAGCACGTATTAGTCTCTGAGATGTCGAGGTGGTGCTCGGCTACCTCCCCCTCGGTGATGATCACACTTTCATGTTTGTCACGTGAAGAATGAGTCGACATGATGGTGAAATAAAGCACGCGCGGGGCATAGCGTCATGGCACCCGACTTTTACCGGCGAGGAAAATTTGCACCCGTTGCCTCTGGTCCTCGCCAATGGGGGCCTGTGTTGAAACAAATGCTACATACCTCGTTCTTTTGGTGGTGAAGAGGCACTTTTCGTAGGTTCCAGGGGGTGTCAAGCGAGGGTCCCCCCCCCCTGCCCAACAAAATTGCGATGCCCCCGTTCCCCACGAAATGCCGATATGAAAAGGGGCAATACAAAGACAAGCGAAAGGCAATTTCGTCCAAGTGAGCGCTGGAAAAAGGAGGAAAAACCCACACGCCACGTATCGCCCGGTCTCTTCCCTTCTTTTGCTACCCGAACTTGCTCTTTCGGGACCCATACTCATACTTGAGTTCGCGGAACCGTACATAGCAGGAGGTAGTGCTGCAGGCACTCCGTGAACGTCAGGTAAATTCGTTTTGTGGAAGTTTCGACATTTCGAAGCCGATTCCGCAAGGGGTCGGGGTATCGACGACGATTGGTGCTTCGTTGGCGAGCTCCTTGCTTGAGGGTAGAGGTTGCCACCAACCCACTTTCACGCGACAACCCAACAACAGCAACAGCTCCATCCTCTTTTTTTTTTCCCGACGAATCACCGGTGGCTTTGCTCAGACGCCCCCCGACCTTGAAGGACAACACGAAGCAGTTTGCAGACCAAGGTCGAGCACAGGTGCCCGATGAAGCCATGGCGGCCCCCAAGAAGGCCAGCATCAACATCATCATGGACGGAGACAGCGACAAGGTGTGTGTACATGTCTTTATTGTAAGCATCGACCGCGCTAGACGGTTGAGCACTGGACATACGTCAGTCTCAAGTGCATTGTGCGTGTTGGCCCTTTCTTCTGACCCCAGTGCACTTCAAGTTTCGGTGAACATGTAATTGGCGTATCGGTTGGGGTCGAAAAAATGGTTTAGGAACGATGGATCTCGTCGCGCGCGCGCGAGAGAGAGACAGACAGACAGACAGACAGACAGAGAAATTTCCTTGCACGTATCGGTCGGTTCGGTTGTCGATAGCGCCCATCCTCTTGCTTGTGAAGCACTCGAGTTGAGACTATCGATTGGACACAAGCCAGTTGGTTCGCCGGCACTTTCTCTGCACCTGCCCACCGCTGTGTCGTTTTGACCGTGACACGACTCAACATACTCCATACAGTAGTCATTGCGAGTTTCCTTTAAGGCTAAGAAGGGCTTCGTTTTTTTCGTCGAAGCACGGGTACCTGGGTGCTGCAGTGCCCGAAAACGCGTTGGCAACAGAAAACTACACGCTAGACGACCACCCCCGCACCCAGCATTTCTGGTCAGCTGTGGGGCGTGTACACGATCACTAGAGCAACCGAAGCACGAGCCGTCTCAAAACAACAAACCCCACGGTACAAAATAATACGGTAGGCTGCCTCCATAACGAATACCGGATGAACTGCGTGCTTCACAAGGGATGCATGACCAAAAGTCCAACTCTTACGGCTGGCGTCACCGCGCCCCCCCCCTCCACAATGTGTGATGCCCTCTGCTTGCATTCATTGCATCCCCCTCAGGAAAGCGACGATGAAGACGTCGGCGACGCCGCTCGCATGGCAGGAGCGGGGGTTGGAGAGCGACCGGGGGGGGGTGCCGCGGGTGCGAAGGGAGACGGGGTGGGCCACACGGCAATGGTGGCGGACATCCTGAAGGAGAAGGAGAAGGCGGAGATGCGAGCCAAGGAGGCTGACGCGGATTCTAAGGGGAGAGGGGACGGCCAGGTGAGACAAAGGGCGGTGTGTTTCCCCTCTTGGTTGTGTTGACTTCCCGTGCCGTGGCAGATGGTGCCGCTGTAAAATGCCTTGCGTTAAGGGGGACCCGATTCGCAGGGTATCCGTCGATTGAATTTTACCTGAATCGGTACACCTTTGCACTTGAGTGCTTGTGGATTCGCCACGTTGCAGGTGTCGATTTTTGTTCGCGGCACTGCTGCCAACGGGTTAGACATTCGATCTTCGGAATGGTAACAACGGGAAAGGGTGTCTAACATCAACACATGTGCCATTGAATGCTTTTTAGGTCCGACATGTGTACTGTTCCTATGCACCCTACCCTAATGTTTATTTTTCTAGCCGTGTCGAAGCCTGTATGGACGGCAGGGCGCGTCCGCCCTGCTCGGACCTGCAGCCTCACCGCAAACGCCTGCTTGCATTCGCCGTTGGCACATAAACATGCCCCATCCATACAGCACTGGCATGCTCGAGTTCCTCGTTCGGTTCTGTCCACTCTAGCATAGTTGCTCTGCGTTACGACCCCGCCCCTTCCCCCCGGTATTTTCAGGAGGCGAAGGGGTCTGCAGAAGGAGGAGGCGGTGGAATAAGAATGGGTCGCCTCGGGGGTGTCGGGCGGCGCAACTCCGCGAGCTTGTTGTCAACGGCTGGTGCTGCTGCTGCTGCGGGCAGGGGGTCCAAGCTCGCTGGCGGGGGCGGCGGTGGTAGTGGATACGGAGACGCAGATGTTGCCAAGTTGAAGGATGCTATACAGACGCTCTGTCAGAGCACCCACCCACTAGGTGAGCACATTCGACCCCGCTCTAACGACACCCTCTTACTTTTTTTGTGCCAGTAACGCGGGAAGTTGTCCTGAAGACCGGTGCCCCCCCCCCCCCAGCTAATTGTGCTCCGACTTCTTCCCTAGAACGCGCGGTCAATGTCCAACGGCTAAGGCATGAAAACGACACGAGTACCCCCGCCCCCGAGCAACAACTATTTACAGGCGTCCCCGCATTAAGGACACACATACATCTTCCGCCAACTCCCCGCTTTAAGGACAAAGGAATCCAGAAGCAGGGCGCAACAAATACACAATATAGGGGGGGGTATCCTTGTGCAGGGTGTGCGTGATAGCATTAGAATGCGAGATATTGCAAAACTGTCGTGATCGGAAGTGATTTGGTGATCACGACGTGGAAGGTGGATAGAGTGGCTCAGCGGTGCGTGTGAAATTCACAGGGGCTTGTGAGTGTCTTCTTCTGTGTGACGTGAGACCGTTGCCGTCGCGCCCAAGCTGCTTGCTTCGCCGTCGATGTTCGCTCTTCGTGGCTACTGACTGAATAACCGTTCAGGCAAGTGCATGGACTTCGTTCACGAGGACCTGTCCCTCATGTCTCAGGAGATGGATCGCTGGAGAGCTCTGTACAAGGTCAAGGTAGGCTCAATCAACCCAAGCAGGAAAACAAGCCATCCAGGACGATGCAACAATCCTACTTGTTTCTCCCCCCCCACAGCCCCCCCCAGTGTTTGCCATTGGGGTTGGGTTTTCGTCGCTTGGCAACGACGTTGTAAAACAAGCCG